CCAAGTGTTTCAGGAGCGACAGCCGCTCCTCTGACATCTCGTCATGGGAGTACTTGCAGAAATTTAACCCTTTCCGGCAACGTCCTCGGAGGTAATAATCGAAACAGCAATTGTGGAACCCTGCGTCCCTTAGTGACTTCCTGGAAGCATTGTCCCAAGATTTGCCGGGCTCCCAAGTCCCTTCCAATGCTATGTCATCGTTGTGAAGGCACCTGCATGCAGTCCCATATTTACAACCACCTTGATTGTAATACAGACACAGCCGACCTTTTGGCTCACCTGACGTAGGCTCACCCTTTGATGCACCTTTGCCAAAATTGTACTTGGCCCGGAAGGCTAAATCCTCCCGCTCCTGCTGTGCCTCATCCACTGTACCTTCCTCTGTGGGAGGGTCACCGATGTTCCCATCCTCATCATCAGCTTCTTGGCTATTCTTTGGATCAGTTGACCCTCCTCCTGGCCAACCTTCACCATAACGACGATGCTCATAGGAACACTCATCACCATTGCGACACCGTCCCCGATTGAAGAACTTGCACAGCTTGCTGTAACCAGGTGACAACACAGTCTTTGGTGTCATGTAAGCCTTTTTGTACTGGTCAGGGTCCATGTAGGCTTCCATTGGCTCGTTCTCCCTTTTGCTCATGGATTGCACTGCACCATCAAGCTCCTGCAAAAATAGCTTGGTGTCCAACCAAAGCGCGTTCCAAAACTCATCTTCCCCTTGATTCAGCACCGTTGCCACCGCTTCACCCACAACTGGTCGAGAAAATCTCCTTTTTTTGCATGCCAGTTCGAAAAGCGCGTTGTGGTACTGTTTTCGGGAAAAAGTGGTTAACTCCCCCAAGCCTGTGCTTTCTGTACCATCAGGCTTCCAACCACCATTTTGCAAGATGCCATACGCGCGCCGAGCTTCCGCATTGGGGAATGCCTGATCTGCAACACACTCCTGTAAATCTTCCATCGGGCGACCCAACAGCATCCCTGTAATTTTGCCAACATAGGCTTCCTCTTCGTTTCCATTCTCCAGAAGAGCTTTGTAGATCTTTTCTCCATAAAGTTGTCTTTCTTCTCGTTCTTCAGAGGATAACTCTTGTATCACAAGCTCCTCATCGGATTGCTCTTCCTCCTGTTTCCAGTCCCATTGACCGTTGGAATCTCGGTACCACTGACCAACATACCATGGATTCGTCCACCACGTACTCCAGCCGCTGGGTTTCCACTTCCGCAGCGTTGAGGAAGAGTCCTCCACGTCCTCTTCCAAAACCAGAAAGGTGTCCAAGATTATGGTACCATCATCTTCCACTAGTTTCACTGTTCCATTGACAGTATCACCAAATCTGAAATGGCACGTATTGTTCCCTTCTGTAGGAATCAATACATTCAAATCACCATGGTCCAAAAAGGCTCCATACCCATTGATGCAGCGCACTAGACCCATGATCTCATCTCCCTCTTGATAGCAATGTGTCCCAGGTGATTCCAAGGCTCCCGCTCGGGGCACTTTCTTTGCTTGCTCTTCAGAAACCACCTCTGTATCATCGGCTCCTGGCGCATCCTTTGTTTTCACCTTTGAGTCACACTGCTCGTCCTGCTCCACGAGTCCCACAAGCTCATCTTTTTTGTGCTCCTGGACTTCAGGACCTCTCTTTTTCTCCGCCAAAGGCTTTGCCTCATCTGCTGTAATTCGCTCGGTGTCGACTTCCGGCGAACTTCCAGACGGCAACACTTCTCCCTTCATGGGAGTGGACCCATCATTGGAGTCCTTTGTCACACCTTCTGCAGCAGGCAAATCTTCCTCCACTGCAGGGCAATTGAGTCGATCATCCACGGCAGGCATGCTTTCTTCCACCGCAGGATCCTTTGGTTCCATGGCCTCCAAAGGAGAATTTCCACCATCATTGACCACAGCTGCCTCATTGGCTCCGGTGTAGCCCTTGTCATTTCGTTCCTCGCTGCTAACTTCAGGTTGCACCAGTGCGTCCACCTGTGAACCTCCATCATCAGCTGCTGCGGAGACCTGCGCCCCATTGTTGCAGTCGCCCGTGGAACGTAACGCCATATGCACCTCAACCCGTGCTTCCTTCGCACTCCAGGTAATATCTGGCGCATCGACCCGCGCATCATTGGCGCTCCAGGCCTCATTTTTCAGATCTTCTGTGTCTCCAGCTATTCCAGAAGCTTCTTTTTCCCTTTGAATGGCAGGAACCTTGGCACCAAACGAAGAGACCTCCTCAGTCGCAACACACGACCTTTTCCCTCCGTCTTCCAAATCTCCAGGACCACATTCCCGAACGACAGGTACCACATCCACCACTCGATCTTCTGCAGCCGACACAGTTCCGATCTCCACATTGGGAATCTTTTCTTCTGGACCTACCGATTCCACCGCTGCCACACCCTCAGAAAGTGCTCCCATTCCTTCCCGATCCAGATGTTGAGCTCCAGCGATGTCTGTTCGGTTTCCAGGAATCTCCTCCTCATCAGGAGAACCCGAGGTCGGGGCGTCACCACCAGCCCTAGGACCGCTATCCCTGATAGTAGAGGAAAAATCTTTTTCACCTAAACTATTTACACTACCCTGGAATGCCCTCGTAGACTCAGTCTTCGGAGTAGAGGATGAAGAATCCAGTGCCGCCTCCATTTCCAGCTCATTGCCCGAAGGAGACCCAACCACCTCGTCACTCTTCATCTTTTCACCTACCGCCGGCAATGTCCACTTGCTTTCCTGCGTATCCAGGCAGTAATAATATTGTCTCCCATCTTCATGGAGGTGCCATTCCCACGTTGTCCCATCGCACGCTTTGATCAGATGCTCGTCTTTCTGAAAACCATCCCTTTCAGAGACCTGTCGCATCTCGTCCTCTTCTTCGGACAACTGTCGCAACCTCTCAGCCTCCATCTGTAGGATCTCCTCCTCCCCCATGGCGTATCCAGCAGCAGGTGCAGCTTCAAAGCTGTCCGCACCCTTCTGTTCATGACCGCTTCCACCACCTTGGGAACTCGAAGATGGACCCCTTTTGATCTTGTTCAGAGGCCTCCGGGCCGCTTGCAGCACTTCTCCAATCAGATCGGTCTGAGACTCTTGGTCTACCATTCGACCCGAAGTCGAAGACGACGGCTGATACCCGTGTTTGTGCAACACTCGTAAAACAGTCACCTCCATTTCACGATCTATACCACCAGTCGCGTCCCAGTTCCTTTTCTCACCAGGCTTTGGCGATACAGAAACAGCACGTCCTTCAGCTTCAGCATTGCTAACCATATCCCTATTGGGATTCATACCCACATTGGGGCTTTCTGCAACCAAGGCCTCTTCCAGATGTTCTTCAGCGCCGGGAATCACCTCTTCCAACACCGATCTTTCACCCAGAGACTCAGCTGCACCATTTCCAGCTCCACCATCTTGTCCACCATCCGAGGCAAGTTGGAGCCATCGCTTCGGAGAAGGCATTGCTTCTTGATCCCAAAAACCTTGAAAGAACACTTAACCGCAGGGAACCTAATTTGGGCTCATAACCTACGGGGGGACAACCAAGGAAGGAAATCAACTCCCCTAATCGCCCTGAACTTATATTTCCCAGATCGAACCAAGAAACAACCAAGAACACGGATAAGAGCAACAAGGAAGGGGCACCCTTACACAAGTAGAGGGGCACTAACCCAACCCTCACTCCCAAACACGGACTTTTTTCTTTGGACGGGCTGGCCATCCTTGAGCCAAACATAGTTTACGGGTTCATTAACCCTTTCAACTTCCAACACTAACTCCTTTCTACAATACCAATTGCAGCTCCGCACCCTGAACCCTGAACCCTAAACCCCGAAGCCCTGAACCCTAAACCCTAAACCCTAAACCCTAAACCCTAAACCCTAAACCCTAAACCCTAAAAGCCCTAAACCCCTCAAGCCCGAAGGCTTAACGCTTGAACCAGCGGCCGAGGCCCATCGTGCAGAACTTGGCATCGGACCCCGAGGCGAAAAACCCAAGGGTTTAGGCTTGAGGTTTAGGGTTTGCTTTTTTTTTCTTTTCCGGCCTAGGGTTTTTTAGGGTCTAGGGTCTTAGGGGTTTGTTAGGGTCTAGGGTTTTTGGGCTTTAAGGGTTCAGGGTAGAGGGTGTTAGGGTTGTCAGGGTTGTAGGGTTTAGAGTTGTTGGGATTGTCAGGGCTTTGGGGTTGTGGGATGTAGGGTTGTGGGTTTTGGATTTTCAGGGTTTAGGGCTTCAGGTTGTCAGGGGTTCAGGGCTGAGGGGTTGAAGGCTGTCAAGCTTTCAGGGCTCTTCCAGGCATAAACCCTAAACCCTAAACCCTAAACCCTAAACCCTAAACCCTAAACCCTAAACCCTAAACCCTAAACCCTAAACCCTAAACCCCAAACCCCTAAACCCTAATTTTTTTTGGGAAACAAGTTGCCCCTGGGGGGCAAGGGGAGCAGAGGCCCCATATATCAGAGAGGTTCAGGGTCTTCGGCGTGCTTCTGTGGTTCCCTAAGCCCTAAACCCCAAACCCTAAGCCCTAAGCCCTAAGCCCTAAGCCCTAAGCCCTAAACCCTAAACCCTAAACCCTAAACCCTAAACCCCAAAAACACTAAACCCTAAACCAGCCAAACCCTAAGTTCAAGGGCTCACCGGAGGGATTTCTTGGTCTTGGCGCCCGAGGCCCAAGCTGCTTTTCCATGTTGGGGTTTTTAGGGTTTAGGGTTTAGGGTTCATAGGGTTTAGGGTTTAGGGTTTAGGGTTTAGGGTTCATAGGGTTTAGGGTTTAGGGTTTAGGGTTTAGGGTTCATGTTGGGTTTGGAGTCTCGGCCCTCAAAATAGGGGCACAGAGGGCCCTCCCCAACCTTGAGTCCTCCAACTAGCAAAGGCGTTCCGGGCTTAGGGTTTCGGCCTAGGGTTTAGGGCCTAGGGTTTAGGGCTTGGGGCTTAGGGTTCAGGGCTTAGGGTGCACGGTCTAAGGGCCCCCCCCTCTTACCGTCCCGTGCCCCCGGGACAGTGTCGTGCCATGCTGCGGGTGTGGAGCATCTCCGGGCAAGAGCTGGTCTCCGCGCCCGCCGACGATTTCTTCGACGTGGTGGACATCAAACGCTTCTTGCGTACCCGGCACGGGCACCCAGCGTCTTGGGTGGAGTTGGTCACCTTTTGCCTTTCTGGTTGCCATAAGCCCAGTGTTCTCCACCCTAAAACCCTCACCCCCTGAACACTTGACTCTTCAGTAGGGAATGAGGGAGTCAGGTACCTTTCTAATTTAACTTTTTCACTCAGTCAGCAAGGTATGTGCTCAAACATTTGAACCCGCAGTATTGGAACCCCGAAAACACAACACCTGCACCCTAAACCCCCTAAACCTTAAACCCTGAACCTCGCACATTTTGCTCCGCGGGACGCTTGGTTTCTTTCCTTTCCAGGGCGCGCATTGCAGCGAACACCCGAAACCCTAAACCCTAAACCCTAAACCCTAAACCCTAAACCCTAAACCCTAAACCCTAAACCCTAAACCTCTCTTTCATATATAATTTAAATGTTAAGGAGTTAATTACTGGGCAAGGTCATCTTTTTACTGGGCAAGGTCATTTTTTTACTGGGCAAGGTCATTTTTTTACTGGGCAAGGTCATTTTTTTACTGGGCAAGGTCGTTTCGTCCAAAAAAACGACCTTGCCCAGTAAAAAAATGACCTTGCCCAGTAAAAAAATGACCTTGCCCAGTAAAAATGTTACTGGGCAAGGTCATCTTTTTACTGGGCAAGGTCATTTTTTTACTGGGCAAGGTCATTTTTTTTATGGGCAAGGTCATTTTTTTACTGGGCAAGGTCATTACTGGGCAAGGTCTTTTTACTGGGCAAGGTCATTTTTTTACTGGGCAAGGACTGGGCAAGGTCATTTTTTTACTGGGCAAGGTCATTTTTTTACTGGGCAAGGTCATTTTTTTACTGGGCAAGGTCATTTTTTTACTGGGCAAGGTCATTTTTTTACTGGGCAAGGTCATTACTGGGCAAGGTCATTTTTTTACTGGGCAAGGTCATTTTTTTACTGGGCAAGGTCATTTTTTACTGGGCAAGGTCATTTTTTTACTGGGCTAGGTCATTTTTTACTGGGCAAGGTCGTTTCGTCCAAAGGTGTTTAGGATTTCCGGGCCTAATGGTTAGGGTTTCAAGGCCTCACGGCCTGGTGAGGGCCTCAAGGCCTGCTGTTTAGGGTTTCACGGCCTCACGGCCTGGTATTTAGGGTTTCAGGGTTTCAGGGCCTCAAGGCCTGGTGTTTAGGGTTTCAGGGCCTCAAGGCCTGGTGTTTAGGGTTTCAAGGCCTCAAGGCCTGGTGTGGCTTGTGTTAAGTGTTTGGTACTACGGCGTGATTGGTGCATCCGAAGAGAAAATAAGTAACCTTCTATTTTCTTAATGTTATGGGATTCTTTGGGCGGGTGGGTTTTTGTCCGTTGCCTAGATACACTGCTGGCCTAGTAAATGCTCGAACTTGAGATGCTGAACCCTAAACCCTAAACCCTAAACCCTAAACCCTAAACCCTACACCCTAAACCCTAAACCCTAAACCCTAAACCCTGAACCCTGAACCCTAAACCCTAACCCCACTCGACTCGGCTGAGGTATGCCTTCAACGGCTCATGGTCCTTGACGACTTTGCAGAGCCCATGCCTGGCCTCCCTCTGATAGGACCCATTGGATGGGTTTAGGGTTTAGGGTTTAGGGTTTAGGGTTTAGGGTTTAGGGTTTAGGGTTTAGGGTTTAGGGTTCAGGGTTTAGGGTTTAGGGTTTAAGGTTTAGAGGCCTGGCGTGCCTCTGCCAGGACCCCTTGACTTTCAGCTGGTGGTTTCGCCCACCCTCATGCCTCTCGGAGAAGGCCCTTAGGAGATTTTCTGTTTCTCCTATCAGGGTTAAACCCTAAACCCTAAACTTAAACCCCAAACCCCAAACCCCAAAAAACAAACCCCAAACCCCAAGCCCCAACCCTAAACCCCAATCCACAAACCCTAAACCCCAAACCCCGAACCCCAAACGCTAAACCCCAAACCCTAAACCCTAAGCCCTAAACCCTAAACCCTAAACCCTAAACCCTAAACCCCAAGCTTCAGACCTGCACGCGACCGAGGCCTCATCGGCCCGAGCAGAAAACCCAGGCTGCCTACGAACTCGTGGGGCACCGGAACCTGATTTTTGGGATAAGTTTGGGGTTTAGGGTTTAGGGTTTAGGGTTTAGGGCTTTCTGAGGTCGACTTGGGATGCATGTAGGGCTTTGAGGCTTAGGGAATGATGAGGGTGATTTGGGATACGTTTGTCAAGGTACTGGCCGCAATCCTGAGAAACGGGGTTGAGGGGTTAAGTTTTTTTGTGTTTAGGCTTTTATTACCATATTTTTTGCTTTTCCGAAACCCTAAGCGCCAAAACCCTAAGCCCTAAACCCAGAACCCTGAACCCCAAACCCTAAGCCCTAAACCCTGAACCCCAGGTATGCTGTCAAGGGAGGCCACGTTGATGTGGCCCGTGCTCTGCTCAATGCAGGAGCTGACAAGGAATGGCAGGATGCTATGGACGACAAGACGCCTCTTGCTCAAGCATCTAGGCTGGCGGTTAAGGGTTTGGGGTTTAGGGTTTAGGGCTAGGGTTTAGGGTTTAGGGTTTGGGGTTTAGGGTTTGGGGTTTAGGGTTTAGGGTTTAGGGTTTGGGGTTTCTTTTCTCAGAGGTTCTTTAAGGGCCCTCCTAGGCATCCTACAAGGGCCACACAACGCTCGCCCGGTTGCTGCTGGAAGCTCGCGCCAACATCGGCTCCGTGGACCAAGGCGGCAGAACCGCTCTCATGCAGCTTAGCAGGCTATTGGGAGACTCTTTTGTGCCCTAAACCCAAAACCCAAAACCCAAAACCCAAAACCCAAAACCCAAAACCCTAAACCCTAAACCCCTTTCTCATGGGCCAACCGAGGCACGCAGCTGGCAGGGGCCACGTGGAGCTCGTGAAGCTGCTGCTCGAGGCGGGAGCGGAGACGGACGCCCAAGATCGGCACGGTAGGACCGCGCTCATGTCTCTCGGCTTTAGGGTTTAGGGTTAGGGTTTGGGGTTTAGGGTTTAGGGTTTAGGGTTTGGGGTTTAGGGTTTAGGGTTTCCAGGGCTTTTGGGTTTTCTGGGGTGGGTTCTAGGTTCTTTGGGGTTTTGGGGGAATTACAGGTTTAGGGGGTTGAAAGGTCTGAAGAGTTAGGGGTTTAGGGAGGGCCTTGAGATTGCTGATCTTCCTCAGAAGGCATTGCTGAGAGGTTCTCTTCATGAGCCAACCTAGGCAGGGCTTTACCCCTACACCCTAAACCCTAAACCCCAAACCCTAAACCCTAAACCCTAAAACCTAAACCCTAAACCCTAAACCCTAAACCCTACAAACCCCCAGGTTTGCATCCAGTCGGCTCCACCATGAGGCTGCGCATGCATTGCTGGATGGTGCCTGGGTCGCTGCTGTGGTCGGCCTTTTCCCCCCCTTTCTTGGGGCTTGAGACGAAGGGCACTCTGAACTTAAACCCTAAGCCCTAAACCCTGAGCCCTACGCCCTAAGCGCTAAACCCTAAGCACTAAACCCTAAACCCTAAACCTTAAACCTGCCAAGGTGAAGCTGGCACCGTCACCAACTCTGAGGCCGAACCCACTTCTCCGCAAGGAGCTGGCGCGCCGCACCTCGAGATCGTGCGCTTGCTGCTGCCAGGTAGGCCATCGAGCTAGATTTTATGCTTTCCGTTATTCAGAATAGGGTTTAGGGTTTAGGGTTTAGGGCTTAGGGCTTAGGGTTTAGGGTTTAGGGTTTAGGGTTCAGGACTTAGGGTTTAGGGTTTAGCCATCCCAGGCTGCAAGCAAAAGCCGATGTGACCTTGCGGGATGGCGAAGGCAGGACTGCTCTCATGCAATCCTCTTCCCGAGCTTGCAAGGCCATTCCGTAAGCAGAAGTTCCGTAGAACTGCAGAACTTTCTGCCAGCAAGGGCGGTGATACCGCGAAACGGCTGTCTAGTGGTCTCCGTCTCTAGTGCGCGCGCGTGTGTGTGTGTGTGTGTGTGTGTGTGTGTGTGTGTGTGTGTGTGTGTGTGTGTGTGTGTGTGTGCGCGCGCGCACAAAACTCTGCTGGACATAGGGTTCGAGCCCGAGCAAGCCGCAAATAGTTTGAAGCTATGACTGTTAGGGGCGGCCCCAACGAAAAGGGGGGGCGGCCAAGGAAGAGCCTACCTGGGCTTGGCACAGCAGCTGCTCCTGAAAATGGGAGTTCTGCTGCGACCTTGGTATAGCAGGAGGCGGCTCCAGGACTCAATCAGAGTCAGATGATCAAGGCATCGACAACATGTACATACTGGGGGTGTCCGAAATTAGGGGTACCTTCTTGTTGTTTTTTTTTTTAGAAGGGAATCCTTCCATTGGGTGTCGATTTTGGGGGTCCCCTATTTTCGTAAACCCCCCAGACTACTTTTGGCTGAGGCAAAAAAAAAGGCCCGCAACAAGCGGCAGAAATGTGTGGGATTTCTGTGCGCGGGCCTTCAGTCAGATTGTACAGCGCATGTTCTCGGCGACCGCAAAGACGTGGCTTCACTGAAGTCAGAAGAAACAGCGCTGCGCTGTCAGGGATGCTTTGAGGAGGCGCTCCTGCGGGAACTCTACACCCTCCTCCCAACCCTAAACCCTAACCTGGCTAAAGAACCCTAAGCCTCAAAGCGCTCAAAGCCCTCCAAGCCCTCAAAGTCCTCAACCCTGAACCCTACGGCTTCGGGGGTCTGAGGTTGTTATTTTTCAGTCGGGCTTAGAGTCTCGTTTTTTTTTTGGGGGTGGGGGGGCTTTAGGGGGCTTTAGGATTTAGGGCCTCAGTGTTTTTTCGCAGGGCTTTCGTTCTTTGCGGCAGTTTTAGGGTTTGAGGTTTAGGGCTTAGGGCTTGAGGTTTAGTGGTTTGGAGTTTGGGGTGTTGAGGGTTAAGACCGAATGTTCATCAACCACGGGCACTATGGCAGGCCTCCAAGGGGAGACTACTCCCTCAAAAGGGGAAGCCTTACTAAACCTAAGTTAGGGTTCAGGGTTTAGGGTTTAGGGTTTACTTAGGGAACCTACCATGTCTTATTTGTCAGTAAGATGCTGTGACTGTATGGGGGACCTGACTTCATCACCCCTCACCCCAGAAAAGCCCTGGGGGAATTGTGAAATACCCTAAAGCCAAAGCCCCCGTTTAGGGTTCAGGGTTAGGGTTTCGGGTTTGGGGTTTAGGGTTTAGGGTTTAGGCTTTGGGGTTTAGGGTTGCCCCCTAAACCACGAGCCCTCAAGCCCCAAACCCATGAGCTGTGCAGGTCTTGGTGCGCCAGTCCCTGATGAAGCACTTCTGCGGACTGGCAGGCAAAGCAACCAGATTTTTAAAGTTCATGGTCAACCCTAAACCCTAAAGCCTAAACCCCAAACCCTAAACTCTAAACCCTGAACCCTGAACCCTGAACCCTGAACCCTGAACCCTAAACCCTAAACCCTAAACCCTAAACCCTAAACCCTGAACCCTGAACCCTGAACCCTGAAACCTAAACCCTGCACCCTAAACCGTAAACCCTACACCCTAAGCCCTAAGCCCTAAGCCCTAAGCCCTAAGCCCTAAGCCCTAAGCCCTAAGCCCTAAGCCCTAAGCCCAAAACCTAAACCTTAGCCGCCCTAAACCCTATTGTTTTGATTTTGGAGTTTAGGGTTTAGGGTTTAGGGTTTAGGGTTTAGGGCTTGAGGGACTGGTACAGGGCTTTTCGGGTCGTTGGGTCGATGGGGTGATTGCGGTTCGCGGAGGTGCTTGTTCTACAGCATCTTAAGGTTAGGGTTTAGGGTTTGGGGTTTGGGGTTTAGGGTTTAGGGTTTAGGGTTTAATTAGGGTTTAGGGTTTAGGGTTTAGACGCTCTCCCCCTACTACTCTGGCAAAGACGTCCAGAATAGCTTAGCAAGTCGGTTCTGCTTTTCCTCACTCGTGAGTGTGGGATTTAACCCTGAAACGTAAACCCTAAACCCTAAACCCGAAACCCCAAACCCTAAACCCGAAACCCGAAACCCTTCAACCCATCTCGAGCCTCTCCCAAAACGCTAAGAGAGCCTCCGAGGGTTTAGGGTTTAGGGTTTCGGCTTGGGGTTGGGGGTTTCGGAGTTTAGCTGAACTCTGAGCCTGTTAAAGTCGGATAACAATAGTGCCCTAAACCCTGTAAGTGGTCCTGTATCATAAGTAGGGAGAGTTGAGGGTTTTGGGGTTCCGGGATGTATCCCTAAAGTTGTGCTGCCTGAATAACCCTAATCCCCAAACCCAGAGCCCCAAGCCTGAAACCCTAAGCCCTAAGCCCTAAGCCCTAAACCCTAAACCCTAAAACCTAAACAAAACATGGCCTCCCATGCCCCAAGGGTCACAAAAGGGTAACGATCTGCAAAGGTCGAGTCCCAGATGGTTTTAGGGGTTGAGGGTTAAGGGGTTTTTGTTTTTAGGGTTCAGGGTTTGAGGGTTTAGGGGTTTAGGGGTTTAGGGGATGAGGGTTTGGGGTTTGGCGGCTTTTGGGTTAGGGTCTTAGGGTTTTTGGGTTTAGGGTTTTAAGGTTTGGTGGGGGTCTAGGGTTTAGGGGTGTTGGGGGTCTGGGGGTTTAGGTTGAGGGTTATGAGGTTTGTGAGATTTCGGGTTGAGTTGTAAGAGGGATTGCCAACTTGTGTGGAAGGCAACTGCAAGAGCATCAACGCAAACCCCTAGACACCCAATCCCATAAAACCCTAAACCCAAAACCCAAAACCCTTAAACCCTTAAACCCTAAACCCCTTAACCCCTAAATCCTAAACCCTAGACTCCACAATGTCTTCAACAAGCCGAACAAAGGCGTCCAGAAGCCCTGAAGGGTTTAGGGTTTGGCGTTTAGGGTTCAGGGCATCCTGTATCCCTAAACCCCAGACCCTAAACCGTAAACCCCAACAAAATCAAGCTAAGCCCTAAACCCTAAACCCTAAACCCTAAACCCTAAATCCTAAACCCTAAACCCTAAACCCTAAACCCTAAACCCCAAACCCTAAACCCTAAACCCTAAACCCCAAACCCTAAACCCTAAACCCCCAAACCCTCCATCCTTGAAGTCTCAAGGAACGACAGGGGCCCGTCGTAAACCACCCCGCCCCACCCTTCTCGCCGGGTTTAGGGGTTTAGGGTTTAGGGTTTAGGGTTTAGGGGTTTTGGGGTTTAGGGTGTTCTGGTTCCGGTTTAGGGTTATGGGGTCTGAGGGTTTTTAGGGCTCTAGGGTTTCATGGTTTTAGGGTTATCCGGGTTGTGCTTTGGGATAGTTTTTAATCTCCCTTCTTTCCTTAGAAGGGAACCTATTCATAAATAGTTTTCAAAGGGTTTCAAGCACAACCCAGTTGTAGGTTTTCAGGCAGGTGTTTAGGGGTTTAGGGCTTCGGGGATGTTAAGAGGCTTCCTCATCCAGTCGGATCCGGAGAAGGGCTACGAGAAGGCAGCCGGCCTTTGGGCTTCGGAATTAGGGTTTAGGGTTTAGGGTTTAGGGTTTAGGGTTAGGGTTTAGGGTTTAGGGTTTAGGGTTTAGGGTTTGGGGTTGCAGGTTGAGGAGTTTCCTTGAAGGTTCATGGGGAAAGCGGGCTGTGCTTGGGTTTAGGGTCCAAGGTCCAAGAACCAGGTGGGGGGGACTGTTGAGTATAATAGAAAAGTCCAGTTGGGTGGTTTCGGTTCAGTGAGACCTGAAACCCGAAACCCAAAACCCAAATCCCGACACACCCTAAACCTTGAACCCTTTAAACCCCGACTGTAGACCCGTGAACCCAAACCCTAAACCTTGAAGCCTTAAACCCCTAGCCCCGCAAACCCTAAACTCTGAACCCTGAACCCAGAAAAACCCTAAACCCTAAACCCTAAACCCTAAACCCGAAACCCTAAACCCTAAACCCTGAACCCAAAAACCCCTTCTACTACGTCCTCAGGCCGAGTCGGCAGCTCCGCGGAGACAAGGGTTTGATAGATTCGTTCAAGCCTTCACTCTAAGGAAGATATCATAGTTGGAGAATTGTAGAGGGCTTAGAACTGTACCATATTCGTATGGTTCATTGTCTTAGGGTTCCTTCTCTGGGGTGCAACAAAACATGGCTTAAACTTTAAACCCTAAACCCCAAACCCCAAACCCCAAACCCTAAATACTAAAACCCTAAACCCTAAACCCGAAACCCTAAACCCTAAACCCTAAACCCAAAACCCTAAACCCTAAACCCTAAACCCCCTAAACCCTAAACCCCCTAACCCCTAAACCCCCTAAACCCTAAACCCCCCAAACCCTAAACCCTAAACCCTAAACCCTAAGCCCTAAACCCTAAACCCTAAACCCTAGACCCTAATAAGATGGCCTTCGGGTTCCTTGAGCCCCAAAACCTCGACCTTGCCTGGCAGGTCGCGCGGACGCTGCTTCCCACTGCCCGAGCTCCAGAGGGAGGGCTTGTTCTGAGGGTTTAGGGTCTAGGGTTTAGGGTTTAACCCGAAGCCTTAAGCCCTAAGCCCCAAACCCTAAATCGGTGGGCTTCTTCGGGGCGATGTGTTAGGGAAAGCCAGGATCCTCATGAATCATTGATTGAACTGTAAACGCTGTACAAACCCCTTCAGGGTTTAGGGTTTTGCGGGTTTTCGGGATTAGGATTAGGGTCTGAGCGTGCTGCGCAGGAGCTGTACGCTAACCATTGCGTCCCCAGCATCTTGCTGTTTGTTTTTGAGCTGCGAGCATTTGCGGCCTACAGGTTCGACTTTAAGGTTCAGGGAACCCTATACCCCCAAAAACCCTAACACCTAAACCCTCAACTCTAAACCCTAAACCCCCAAGAACCCAAACTCTAAAGGGCCAGTTGTCTTGAGGCGAAGCTGCTCCTGTCGGAGAAGGCGTCGGACGCGATGTGCTCAGAACAAGTCATAGCGCTTCG